CAAGAGGAACTGAGCGACGGAAAGGTGGTTAGGCTCCACTGCAACAACATGGACGAACATACGAAACTGCATAACTACCTTTCCAACATCTCTCTCTCTCTCTCTCTCTCTCTCTCTCTCTCTCTCTCTCTCTCTCAGCAAGAGAAACTGAGCGACGGAAAGGTGGTTAGGCTCCACTACAACAACATGGCCAAACATACGAAACTGCATAACCACCTTTTCAACATCTCTCTCTCTCTCTCTCTCTCTCTCTCTCTCTCTCTCTCTCTCTCTCTCTCTCTCTCTCTCTCTCTCTCTCTATCTGTCTCTCTGTCTGTGTGTCTGTCTGTCTGTCACACACACACACACACACACACACACACACACACACACACACACACACACACACACACACACACACACACACACACACACATTCACACTCCTCTCTCTCTCTCTTTCTCTCTCTCTCTCTCTCTCTCTCTCTCGCACGTACGCGCGTGCGTTCGCAACTAAGTTGCGATCTTGGTGACCATATCTCTGAGTTCTGAGTGGGCGCATGTCGCCAGTTTGCTGCGCACCATTTGCATGCATGTAAAGTGTGGAAGAGAGCGAGTCTGATCGCACACACACACACACACACACACACACACACACACACACACACACACTGACACTCAATCCATCCATCCATCCATCAATCAATCAATCAATCAATCAATCAAATCAATCAATCAATCAATCAATCATTTGTTTATTTGTTTTTTAATTTTGCATGTGCATTTTTTTTTAAACACCTCGTTTCCCTGCAAAAAACAGAAATTCATTTAAAAAACAAATACAGGTCGACTCGGGGACCATATATGTCATGATAAAAAATGACCAAAAAAATGCTTGCTTTTCTTTATATATATATATTTTTACGTCTGGCCGGGCCTTGCAGGCCTGTGTGGCTGTGCAGTGAGTGTGCCGTCCCCCACACCATCCCTCCCACTTTCTCCCCCACCAACCCCATCCACCCACCCTGTACCTGACTAGCCGGGACCAGTAATGCGCCTACCAAAGATGCGATTATCCAACGGGAGGACAACGACGTCAGCATCCTCACAACATCTTCACATTCTCATTCGAACGAATACGAGCTCTCCCCTGGTACAGGGGCCGTGTGGGGGACCACAAAATAAGTGTGAAGGTGGATGGCGATAACAACGGATAACTGGTGACAATAGGACGTGAATGGACCAACCTGTACAACACATACAGAAATCGGAAGAGTGGGGTACTATGAGAAGGATTAAACAAGTATAGAAGTCGTTAGCCTGCCCATGATAATAACTTTAATTTCGACTAGCAGCAGGTGACAATGGGGCTAGAATTTTTTTTTTTTTTTTTTTTGGAAGGTGCTCAATATATTGCCAAAGAAAGAAAAGGTCGGGGACCTCATAATTCGACGGTTTTCGACCCGGAGGAACTTCTGGGGCTATTACCCAGATTCGGCTAATATTGGAAACTGGGTCCGGTGTCCCTGAAATAACCATTCCTCTAAACAACCTTCCAAAAAATAAACGTTTAAGCACAAGAAAATTCAATAAGACCTTGTTGATTCCAATCTTTCTTCCAACCATCCAACTAGCAATGTCGTTGACTCGTCGGGTCTAAAGAAGGAGAAGCATAATGCAGCTTACCACCCCCGAACACCTGATAAACAACGACCGACTACGGGAACTGCCTCCCTACCAATCTTATCCAAGAGCCAAAGTTATGCAGGATTCAGCCACTTACATATTTAATTTACCAACCTCGAGCGGAAGTTCAAATGTCAGATGAAGATAGAATTAGGATCCTTATTGCGAAGTGTTATGAGGATGGGGTTTTTCCGGAAAGACTGAGACACGGGGAATTTGTAATAGAGAATGGGATCTGGGTTTTCAAGATTAATCCACAAATTGATCGCCTCACCACCGCCTGGTTGAAAGAGCGCACAGTGACGGTCATCTTCCAAGGAGCTGCAAGGGACTTGCCGATGAAGACACGAGAAAACCTCATACGAGCGTACGAGAACGGTTGGATGCGTCGCCGAACATTCGTAAGAGGATTCAAGAGAGGGAGAGTCCATGGGGAGGGAGCCAACGTCATGTCTTATGTGGCAAAGGCGAGGGAAGTCGCGGAGTGGTTAGTGGCCAAAGGAGAGGACGTGGTGGTGATCAGGGGAGTTAAGTATAAAATGCTCTTCAAACCCTGAATAACGAGGGCTGAATTGGATGAGCGAAGAAGACAGGAGGAGGAAACAAAGTTTTGGGTGACGACACTTCGGGTCCCGTTGCGTGCTATGTTCCATGTCCCGGATTTGGTCCACCAGGCGATGAGAGCGATCATCCTACAACACCCGCCTGAGCCAGATGCGGCCAGACCAAAATTAATGAATTTAAAATTTGAGCTGGCGAGAGAAGCGGAGGAGAGGTTCGAACCCACGTTAGCGATGAAATTGGAGGATGGAGAATTGTACAACGTTGAGTTTGTTTACAAAAACACTCCCTGGTGTAAGAGATGCCGATGGTGGTACCACACGGATACGGATGGTTGTCCAAGGGCAGATGAAGAGGAGGAGGAAGAGGCGAACAAAAGAACGGGAGGAAGTGAGAGGAACCGTAACCAAAGATGGAATCAAGGGGAAATTGTATTTCAAAGAGCAGTAAGGGATGCAGCGAGGGATGTCGCAACCAGACAAGAGGAAGGTGGTCTGAATGGTGTTGGTTTGAGAAGAACGGATAATCACCCTGACCCGGTAGGCTCGACATCTCAGGGGAGAAACGCCGGTACAGACAGCAGAGGGCTGTCAGTCCCTTGTGCAGCAATCCCTACCAACGGAGAAGGAATGGGTGGGGGAGCAGTACCCGGCACGGGATTAGGCAGGCCTGGGGGGACGGAGGTAGGGGGTGTTTCGGGAGCAACGATGGCGTGGATGCAGTACCCAGGTCAAGGCGACCCCTACTTACGTAATCTCCAACAGAACCCCATGTTGCAGCAACCTCAAATGGGTTATAACCCATACGGCTATTGGTCGGGACCTGGCTTTCTTGGGATGCAGATGATGTCCTCTCAACTCCCATATCAGGCGCAGTTGCCGGGAGGAGAGACCGCCGGGGTAGCGATGAGACAGGCTGGTGGTCTACCGGGACAATACCAACAGACGGAGATGGGGGCAGTCAAAGAAGTGGAGGTTGACCAGCAAGGCAATCAGGGCTATGGAAGTGGACGGCCGAGCTCTTCTCAACGGTCGAGTGCAGCTTCAGGGCATGGTGGAGGCGCAGTAGTGGAACGAGAGTACCAGATCCCAGAAGGAGTCTCGACCAGGGGGGCAGATGATCAAGAGTATGACGAAAAGTTTATTCTTCCGTTGGTATGCACCATGTTGGGGCAGAAAGCTTTTGTTCTTGGCCTTATACATAGGAATGGTCAAACCATTCTGCCAGCAGACCCAATCTGCGGAATTCCGGGACCCGAGTTAATGGAAGCACGAGTGAAACAGTTATATGCAGACAGATTCTGTTTTCGTCTTTTTCCGGAGGACATGGTTTCGAAAATCACGATTGACACACCAGCGGGCAAGCGAATCAAATTTTTTATTGTGTTAATTGATGCAAGGATCCCAGTACCGCATTGGGCAGGCCTCCCGTCGGTGGGCCTCACGTGCATTTCATTACGAGTACTGCTGGAAGAAAACTCTGTTGAACTGTCCAGTGTGCTGGTGGAACCAGGGGTAGCAACAGATTTTCTGAAAGCTCTCAATGAAAAGATGCCATTGGATAAGAATCTGGAATTAGGGTACATTCAGGAAGTACTGCAGGAAAAGTGGCAGAGTGAATCTCCATTACAGGGGGAAGTGCAAAGAGAAAGGGTTATCACTGAGCGTATCCATGACGCCAACGCTCCAGGAAGTCATAATGGTCAGGATTAAAGTGGCGGCGTGGAACGTTAAGGGGTTAGGGGACACAGGGGGAAAGCAGAAAGGGAGGAGGCTCAAGTCATGGATGCACGAGAAATAGGTGGACATCATGGTCTTGCAAGAAACGAAGCTCTCGGAAGGGAAGTTGGCACAGCTAAGGGGTTGGTGGGACAGCCCCCAATTATGGTCGCCGGCGAGTGGATCGAAAGGGGTACAACTATCCTAGTGCACATCAGATTAGACGCAAAGCTCGTTGACTATGACGCTGATATGTGGGGGATGTGGGTGTGGCTTAAGCTGCGGTGCGAAGGGTTAGAGGTGGTGGTGGCCACGGTCTACGCTCCGAACGAAGCCAGGGATAAAACTGATTTTTTCAAAGCCCTACCGTACTGCTTGCTGAAGGCAGAGCATATGATTGTAGGAGGAGATTGGAATCAGGTGCTCTGCTTAGGACTGGATTCGGATCTGGTGGAAGGCATGCGAAGGGACAGGGACGTCCTTCTGAAATGGAGGGAAGCCTGGGGTCTTCATGACACTTTTAGAATAGTGCATCCTACCAGCTCTGGATTCACCTGGTTCGCAAGCACCTCCAATGCGGCCGGAGCTATGCGCAGGCTGGACTTTTTCTTAACGATAGGTATCTTCTCTGACAGAGCCTAGGACGTTGGAGAGTAGAATGCGTCCATGTCCGATCACAAACCTGTAATCCTGGAGGTACAGCTGTCTGGTCAGAACACAAGAGGACCAGGGTTTTTCAATCTGAACGTCCAGAATTTAGAGGATGAGGGCTGGCGAGAGTGGGTACAAAATTTTTGGCAAGATTGGAAGACAACGGAAGGGGACTTCGAGTAATACAATGAATGGTGGGATGCGGGTCTGAGAATCATCTCGGCGAAGTTCAAAGTCTATTCGAGGATAGCTGCATTCAGCAGAAACAAAGAGGAGGCGGACTGTCGCAAAAAGGTGGATGAAGCGGAAAGAAGAATGGGGGAGCACCCCATTTCAGACTGGGTGTGGGCGGAGGAAAGGTCTCAGAGGTTGAGTGAATGGGAACAACTCCAGGTGGGGAAACAAACAAGATGGCAAGAAATCTTGAGAGAGAAGGGGATTGTGAGCAGCGACAAAATGACTCAAGCAACCTTCAGAAAGCTGCTTCCACGATAGAGGATGGCTCAAATGAGGGAACTGCAACACCCTCACCTGATGGACAAACCGCGGGCAACTACCAATGAGGACATGTGTGGGTATGCGGCCGCCTATTTTAAGGATATCGTGACGACCAGAAAGACCTACTGGAACTGGGAGACTGATATGACAGAAAGCTCCAACTTTTGGGACTCGCTGCGGGCCAGGCTCCCAGTTAGCGGCAAACTGGAACTGGACAGACCTATTACGAAAGAAGAACTCAGACAGACGCTCAAGGTAATGGCTAAAGGCAAGGCACCGGGGGACGATGGTCTCCCAGTAGAGTTTTTCCAAGCCTGTTGGTCGACACTGGAAGCATACGTGGTGAGTCTATTCAACGGGATCTTGACCGGGGGATCTCTGGGAAGTGCTATGACAAACAGAGTTATCTCGCTGCTGTATAAGAAGGGCGACCGGAGCGATATACAGAATTGGAGGCCGATCTCGCTGTTGAACGTCATCTACAAAATCCTTGCGAAGACTCTAGCCAAAAGATTGGGAAAGTTTTTGCCAGGATTGGTAGGCAAGGATCAGGGTGCATTCGTGCAGGGGCGCTCCATTTTCAAAAACATCTTAACAGCGGTGGAGGCGTTGGAGATCATTGACAAGGAGAATTTAGATATGGCGGCACTACTAATCGACCTCGAGAAAGCATATGATAGGGTCAATTGGACCTTCGTCATGACGACCCTCAAAGTTCTGGGTTTTGGTGAGCCGTTCTGTCGGTGGGTGAAATCACTGTATGCCTTTTCAACAGCGGTGGTACAAGTTAACGGCGTGATGTCAGAACAGTTTGGGCTGTCGCGTTCCCTTAGGCAAGGCTGTCCGTTGGCACCTCTTCTGTTTGTCCTTCAGCTGGAAGTGCTGCTGGCGGTAATCAGAGCAGATGAAAGGATACATGTCATGGAACTAGTTGGGGGAGGGGATTGCCGCGTTAAGGCCCTGGCCGATGACCTGCTGGCCTTATCGGTCAACTCATTGGAGTCACAGGAAGCCCTGAGACAATGCCTTCAACAGTATGTGGAACTGTCGGAGGCGGCGATCAATTGGAGGAAATCCATCTTTTTTTTGCCTGAGGAGTTCCACTTTCAGGCCCAATGGGGTATGCAGAGGGTGCACGCAGGAAAAACTCAGAGGTATCTTGGCGTCCAGGTGACGCTGAGCGACTCCGCTTCTTCCCAAGAACTGATCCTGCAGGAGAGGGTTACAAACTGAATAAGGAGCTGGGGCAAGACTCCTCATCTTTCAGTTATAGGAAGAGCACTTGTGATTACAGTCGCAACCTTTTCGTTGTTATGGTACGTGCTGCGCATGCTCAAGATTTCAGACTCCACGATCAGGGCTATACGGGCTGCGGCAAGGCGGTTCATTTGGAAACCAAACTCAGAAGACACCCAAGGCTATATTGCTAAAGTAGCTTGGGATACCCTCTGCTCTGCAAGAGAAGACGGGGGCCTAGCAATTACGGACCCGGGTGCACATAATCTGGTCCTTCTGGCAAGTTGGATACTGAAGGTTGCAGAGGTTTCGGACCCACCGAACTGGTGCAGACTGGCGGAGCGTATATTAATGGAGGAATGGGGACTGTGCCGGCCTTCGGATGTATGCAATAGAAAAATTTCACAGAATTAAATAATCACTCTAGAGTAAAATTATATTCTAAATTTCAAATTTTCATTCCATCTTAAAAAATATCATTCCAATTTTAAAATTTTCCGTCTTACTTGAAAACTTTCCTTCCAAGAATGGGGTATCCCTTCTTATTTGAACTCCATGCTAGAGATGGAATGAAAGTCTGGATGAGTTCATGAAATATTTTAATTGGACTGCCATTCTAAGTAAGGATTTCATAAACTCGTCCAGACTTTCATTCCATCTTGAACAAATAGATGTAGTTGGAAGGGAAAACTCATATTTAGACGGGAACTTATCAAATTAAATTGAAAATTTTATAATTGGACAAACATTGGAATGATAGTTTATAAATATGAAGGATTTTTTTTTAATGGAATGGTTTTTCAACTTTCATTTCTCATGGGAATTTTTCTGTTGTGGATAACGATGATGATGGAACCTTTCCTTAACAAAAGGATTAAGTCAGGCTTTTGGAAAGAGGTCATCCAAGCTTGGAAACAAGTGCGACCCACTGTTCGTGTGCAACCAACAACCAAGGAGGAGGTTAAGGCTCAAGCACTGTTTGAAAATCCGTTCATCAGCCGTATTGAAGGTACCCCTTTTTCTGCAGCATCAAGCCCTAGGAGCTTCGGCCAGAAGTGGATACGGAGGGGGGTGTCTACTATGGGTGACCTGTGGAATGAGTCTGTAAACCTGTGGCATACGCTGGGACACCTGAAGGAGAAGTTGAGACTTCTCCCAGCTCAGGAGGAAAGACTCGAATTACTACTTCAAGCTATCCCTGAGCAATGGAAGCTGTTGTTGGGCCCGGAAGGTGTGAATCCTCCGGGGACCTGGTTTCGAGGCACTATAGGGGAAGAGGAGGGGAAGTGCTATAAGTTGAGAAGCTGGGACGAAGAGGAGCTGGGTAAGTGCCACATGGATGACTTTACTAAATCAGACTCAGAAGACGACATGATGACCCGATCCGAATCGATAGTACGACGATGTTTAAGGGGTTTACAGGAAGTAAGGGTGAGGGCATGCCCAACATGCAGCAGGCAGAGGGAAGAGTCCTTTAAGTTGGTAGCAGGAGGAACCCCAGTACAAGAGTTGAGAATTGATCCGATCAAGTGGGGCTGGAAAGAGGGAGGAGAAGACTTAGTGATAAAAGACCTATGCAACCTAAGCCCAGTGCTAGTCACCAGAAGAAGAGCAGGAAGGAGGAAGCTTGTGACGCGCTAACCTCACACCCTGTGCTGTCTTTCGTTCGGAGTGCTAAAGGTGCAGAATGAAGGCCCAGGAAAAACAACAAGATAGGGTGTGCCAAGGATTTTTGGAAAATTGAGTGTGGGGACACAGACAGAACTGAAATCCCACGTGTTGGCCCTATGAAGTTAGTCAGTTGCTTTCGCGCGTCGCGGAATGCGTGCGCGGGTACGGCACGAAAAAAGAGAAATTCAAATTCAATCCAAAAAGTATTGTCGAGATTCCCACCGCGCTACGGATCTTCGTTTAGAGCGGAAGGGCTTCGGCACACTCCGCGTATCCCGTTTCCGTATAAAGTCCCGACGTCGCTCGTTGGTCAGTTCTGAGTCTGACGTGGATGGTCTCAGACGCGTGGCTCTTTCCTTGTGCTCGTCCTCACCCCGTATCCGGTAGTGGACACCCTTTGATTCATAGCGGTCGAAACGCTGGCACTCAGTGCACAGGGTTCGAGGCCAATGAGGCGCCACTGCCGTCCACGGAATGACGATCAGCTCGTTAAATGACAACAACACCGAGTAAGGTGGAAAGTGTGTATCGATGATGACAAAACCCGCATCCACGAACCCGGAACAACGATTTTCAGGAGGGAAGTAATATTGTCCGCCGATGCATGCTACAGCTTCCCGTACGTCCCATTTGCGTACACATGTCCTTTCCTCGTTGTAGGGGAAGGGGCGCGTCGACAAGGGAGATACAGAAGGCAGGCGCCCGACCGCAGGACGAACGTTAGTCCATATGTCAATTAACCAGATGGAGTTTACGGGAATACTCGAGACGTCATCAAAAAGCACAAAAAGAAATAATTAGTGCCTTTCTTCCTTTAGACACGAGAGAGGCAACTTAAGAAACCCGTACAATCATGCATGAGTCGGGTTGGAGTTCCGAGGGATCAACCCGCGACTCAGTTTCAGCAGACTTGACCAACAAGAGCACGAGACGCCTAGTTTCTTCGAGGCTGCCTCACCGACTATCGGTTAGTGTCGTGCAGCATAAGGCAAATGACATGCGCAGTGCAGTTGGAACCACAGATCTAAACACTCTTGCATTCTCGAACAAAATCCCATCGAGCGCTGAGTCTAATCAACACAAAAAAAAAACAAGCAACCTCCATACATACATCCACTGTGGAAGGTGTGAAAATGACAAGGATACACAGGTTAGAAATCAACGGAGGGATTTGTACACACACATCCACCGTTCACAAGACAAGGGGGATCAAACCATTGGCATCTGGGGATTACCTAGGAAACTAATGGAAGAGTTCCGGACGAAGTTCTTCCATGCGAGGACTCTCGCGAGTGCGCCTCTG